GCAGGTTGTTAGGCTCAGGGGCTTACAATTGCTATAAGCCTCCAGCCTTTAGGTCTCTTGTCAGCTCTCTGAGGATTGCAGCTGGGTGGGGCTGGCGTCAGGCACAGGAGCACTCAATTGTTTCAGACTTTGGATGGTGGGGCAAACCCCCTATGTGGGTCTTTGAGAAGCACATCTCTTCTGCAGCTGACAAGCCCTGCTGCCCACGGGTCCACACACACAGTCAACACTGTCCTGCCCCATGTGCATGCCCCTTTCTCCTGAAGTGGGCCCAGTCTCTCCATGGTGGGAGCCCCACACACTCCACCACTGCCCCACACTCTCCACCTGCTCCTTGTGCACACCCTGCCCCACAGAAGTCAGCTCAGTTGCCAGGCTGCACAGAATCCAGTCACCAATCTATGCAGGCCCACATGTTACCTGAGGGCTTGTTGTTGGGTTGGGCCAGTCTCTAGGGTGGGCTGCCCACCCTGGCTGAGCTGGATTAAATCAGTGCTCTAGTGGGTGGGGCAGACCCTGGGCTAGAAGACCCCAGGGAGAACTCCAATGGCGTCTGTGTCAACACGCCCACACCAGGCCACACAATGGCCACTACCAATGTCCCAGTCCCTGAAGAGGTCTCACCTCTCACCCAGATGCACTCAGGGCCTATCAGGTGAGTCTCTTTTTACAAAAGCACTGTGCACCTTTCCCTCTGGTGATTTTATGATGTTTTCTGAAACCGGTGAGTTTGCGCACGAGCCCTTTAAGAGCCGGTTTTATTTTCTTTGTGAACCAGCTTTTCTGGGTGTACTCTCCAATGTTTTAGTAGCAGGCAAAGTCAGATATTATGCCACTTGTCTGGATTGTGCTGGGTCCACAAAATGCCTACAGCGGGGTCGCTGCCCGGCTCAGGGTCCCGCTCCTCCAGGGAGGGCTGCATACCTTTGGGCTGCTCCTGGGCGACCGTGAAGCTGTCGGCTTGTGAAGGTGGCGTTTTACTTCTCCAGAAGGGAGTTTCTGCCTCTTCCACCTCACCTAGGATTGTCCTTTGTTGCAGAAGTTCCTCTTATCCAGTTTTCAGTTCTGTCTCAGGGGTAATTTTTCCACCAGTAGTTTTAAATTGGCTGTGTCTGCGGGAGGAGGTGAGTTCAGAGTCTGCTTATGCTGCCATCTTGACTTCTCCTCTTTGCATTTCTTATAATTTTTTTTTGTTGAATACTGGTTATTTAAAATGGTATATTGTGGCCTCTCTGAAAATCAGTTTCTTACCCTTTCCAGAGCTTGTTGTTGTTGCTGTTTGTTGTAGTTTTTCTTGTTTGTTTAGTTCCATTTCTGAACTAATTCTGGTCATTTGCATCCTTTGTTGTGTGTGGCTACTAAAGTTTCTACTCATTTAGCCTAGTAGTCGCCTAATGTTGCACAGTTTTCCTCAAGTGCCTGGACCCAGTAAGTCTCCCAGTATTTGCTGAGGGAAGGTCTCTGTGTGCATGTTGGTCTTGTCTTCACTCATCCAGGCATTTGACAACTGTGCCTTTAGCCTTCAATTCCTGCTTGCACAGAGCCCCAGTCTTAGCTATAGTGGGAATGAAGTCCTTCTCAGGCCTTTATGAGCATGCCCACAGCCATATGCATGTGCTTAGACTTGTAAATTCCAGGAGTATGTCAGAGATTTTCATAGCCTCTATGGATATCTTACTCCCCAGCTTTCTCTTATAAGTTTTTAATTAGCTTTTTTGAATCAACTGTTATCTACTACCTCAGGCATCCCTGAAGTTAAACAATTGCGTGTAATTGCCTTTGTCAAATTCTGTGGTTCTAGTGCTGTTCACAGTGAGAGAGCTCCAAGTTATGTCAAATACAGAGTCTGTTGCAAGTGGGGTCTTCAGGGGTATCCACAGACATGTAAAATCATAACAATTTACTGGCAATGAGACTTTGAAAGAGCTGTCTTTAGTGGCTGCACGGCTCCTGGTGTTCAACAAGAATACAGGCATTTATTTTTCAAGCATACAGTGCTGCTGGAGAGCAGAGAAGTGGCTAGAATGTTAAAACACAACAAAGCTCCCTATTCTTATTGAGGTTAAGCCATTTTTCTTGAATAAGTGCTCCTCAGGTTACTGCAAGCCATTAGTTAATTTCCAGTATTCTGAAAAAGTTCTCTAAAAAGTAGGCCAGTTTTCTCAGTGCTTTTATGAAGGAGAGAATTTTTGAAGGTCTTTACTCTGACATTATCACCCTTCACATTGTAATATGCATTGTAAGGTGTTAATTGCTTTCTAATTATGGCTAAGTTGTTTAGCATTTACATACTTCTCCCTAAGTGACCCATTGAAACCAAACGTTATCCTGTCACGACTTTCTAAAGTTTTAGTTCTATTTATTTTTAATAAAAATACTAATTATAATTTTTTTTTATCAGCAACTAATTAGTTGAATTATAGAAGAGGAGAGAAGAAAGAAAAAACGGATAGCGATGACTGGTCTGCACCTGCTGCTGTCTCCTCTTCTCTCCAGTGCAGCTCTGGGGCTTCCCTTCTGCAAACCATTCATGGCTGGGCTGGCAGCTCTTCTCTTTCACCCAGGCAGAGTTGTCAGGGAAAAGAGCATAATTCATATTCTCTTCTCCAACTTTCCTTACCTAAACATCTAGCCTTTCTCCTGGGGATACAGTTTCCTCTCACGTTATAAAGCAGCCTATCTTTCCAGGGTCTTTCACAGTCATGACTTGAATTTCTCAGAATCTACACTCTCCTTTTCCTTCTGGGCTTATCCATGGCTGAGATGATGTTGTCAGCTTGTGAGCACTTTGCTATTTACTTAAAATACGACCTTGGACAAAATAGACATGACCACCCACCAAGTCCCTTGGAGGTCTAGAGAATTCCCTACAATTTCTGTGACTTTCTATGAACTTACATTCTCCTGGTCACCATTCAGATCTCTTATTTTTCCTGTTGCTCAGCTCATTTAACTCTACATTTTTTCTCTTATCTGCCCTTCCTAACACACACTTTATGCTGCTATAGATCCGTGTGTGCCTTCCTTTAATTCCCAAAACATTCTTGGCATGAGATAGTCTTACCAAAGTTTCTGCATGTGGCACGTGTGCTTGTTTGTGTGTTACGTCTTGGCACAGGATGGTTGGGATATAGAAAGGAGCTTAGACATCTGGATTTTTAAAATGTCCCTGTTGTTTTGCCAGAATTTAAAGTCTACTGTCTGACTCTCTGCAGTGTCCCTGGCCTGCAAGCACATTGCTGGTTCCCTCTCTCTAGGCTTCTCCTCCCCACTCCCTTAAGCAAATAATTTTTATAACCCAGCAGTTCTCAAATGAAGAGTGGTTTCACAAGAGGTGTAGGGACATAGGGGAAGGGGACATATGAGACTTGCTCCCCATCACCCTGAGAGTGACCAGTAGATGAGCTGCCCGGATTTTGACTCCATACAAGAAGTTTCTGACCACAGGACTCATGGACTGTCTTTTGAAGTAATTTCCCCATTACTAGGTGGGATTGAGGGAATCCAGCCAGTACTGAATATTCCCTTGTCTGGGATGCTGCAGAGCAGTCTAGGGGATGCAGAGACTAGACTCAGGTGACTCTCTTGAGGCCACACAGTAGGAATGGACTGCAGCTGTGATGTTAGGGATTTTTTCCCAAGTTTGTTGTTAAGAGCCCAGACTTCCACCCTTAATTTGCTGTGTGACCTTTCACAGGTTGTACAACCCCTTAGGACTCAGGTTTCACATCCATAAAATGGGTTTCGTATGCAGTGCCCTGACTACCTTGAGTGCATGGTCATGGGGCCAGTCCTGCAGCTCCATCCTTTGGGTGTTCTACCAGGGCAGCTGTGGGGGAAGCCTCAACGGCGAGGAGAAAGAGGCACTGCCCAGGGGTTAGTAAGATGGTGCTGCTCCCATAGGCCATGGGAGGCAAGAGTTCTTGCATGTTGTAGAGTACCCAGTCTGTGGGGAAGAGTGCAGGACCTGATCCTCACTAGGGGGCAGTGGGTCTGAGGCAGCTGATGTGTGGCCAGGAGGAGTGTGTAGATCTCCACCCCTGCCGCGCTGTGACAACAGGAGCAGGGCTGGCAGAGGCTTAGAGGGAAATGCTTGATTGTGATGCAGCTAAAGGCCTATCAATTTCTGTGGGGGTTTGGCTTTGCCGTGTGTGTAGGGAGCATTACTAGACTAGTGGCCGCTGAGAAAGCCATACAGGTGCAAGCAATAAGTAAATGCCAATATTTGCATTGGGGGTGTAAGGATTTGACATTTCGCACAAAGAGCTTTGTTTTCTTTGCTCACAGCTTCTAACTTAAGCGACTGACAGTTGAAATTTGTGGAAAATCTGACTGGAATTTTCACTCATTAAATGGTGAAGGGACTGAGGACAGGAGAGGCTTATCCCTGCCTGACTGTAATAATGTGACCTCTGAGCTGACCACAGGCTGGCACTGGTAGGCAGGGCTGCCTGGGGTATGCTGTTAACCAGAGAAGCAGGTAAGGGTTTTAAGTGGGTGTAGGGGTGGAAAGTGTGAGATCACTAAGCTGATTTTGCCACAGGGAGGGGGCATCTCCAACACAGGTCCAGGCACATTGTAGAGTGAGGCTGTCATACGTTTATTCTGTAATTATTCTTGAGGTCCTACTGTAGGTGCTGGGGATGATATGTAAGATCTGAATGGCTTACTGTAACTATTGGGCCACCATGCCAGAGTAATATTTAGCTCCGCCCTTGGGGTGCGGAAGAGCGTAAGGGGCTTTTCTGAGTGAAGCTTTTCCTCTGCTTTTGTCTCTGCGTCCTAGATGTTTCCTCTGCAGCTGAACAGGCTGGCAGGCAGCCTGCGATGGGGTCCTGCTCAGAAGACTCCTGCCTGTGCTGGGCCTCCTGGCTCCTGGGATTCACCAGTCTCCTCCTCAGTGAGTGGCCTGGTCTCCTGGGAGGGAGGGCGGTTGGGTGGAGCAGGGAGACAGGGTCTCCTTTCAATGTCTCAGGTATTTGGTGAACGAAAAGACAAAAGAACTCTTACACTTTAGCTCATACACTGTTCAGGGTTGAACAGAAAGGACAAATGGCCTTTTGGCTGTGTGGAGGCTGGGAACCCTGAGCTCCAAGCAGCCTGGCTGCATTAAGAGAACCATTAACAGGTAGGTGAGGCCACTTCTGCTGCAATAGCAGTGGAAGCCAGGAGAGCCTGGAGCTGCCTGGGGAGTAGGGTGGAGACAGACAAAGAAGCTGCTCCTGGGGACAGAGCGGGTGGGAACAGGGCACCCCTGGCCTGGAACTCTGAACTCTGCAGCTGTCGTGTGGAGGAGGGGGCTGACTTAGCACCCCTGTGTCTGAGCTGGAGGAATCAACTCTAATCTGGGCTCTTTGGTCTTCTCCACTGAAAACGGAGAGTGAAGGAGCGCTCCTCGCCCAGGTTAGGGGCTCAGCTCCAAGCACAGAAAGAGAGTCCCTGGATGTCTCATATTTACCTTAAAATTAGTTGTGAATTTTACATTCCACTACAGTGTCTGTTTTCATCTTAAAAATTTGAGAAGTATTTATCTTTGTGTAAAGTGAATCCTCTAGGGGGGCCCCTTTTCATGCCTGTGGGTTGCATCTCCCTACACTGCCAAATGCTGCTCAGGTCCTGGAGACCCCAGACTGAAAGCACTGTTTTAGAGAAAAACCCTGGAAACAAGGGAGGCACCCATCAGTTCTGGAATTATTGAACTAATTGAGGAGTGTCTTTATCTCAGAATAATACTGAGGTTAAAAAACAAATGTTCCAGTTGTCTGGGTCAGATTTCCAGTTTCCACGACGTGAGATGCATGGATTTCCATGAGCAAGATGCAGGAGACTGAATACAATGAAATTCTAATTTTGTAAATGAACAGGAACCATCAAAAATTAACAGTGTCTGTGTCCCCAGATGTTTATAAATGGAGAAGATGTGGAAGGAAACAGTAGACTGCTGAGGTGGGCTCCTGGAGAGGGTGAACTTGAGGAGGAAATTGAGGAGGGGGAAGTTGAGAGGGGGTGGTATAAGCAAAAAAAAGAACTGAAAGAAAGACTGTCCTAAGGAAAGCCGAATATCTCATCTAGGGCGTTATCTGAGAGTTTATGTTTACATATAACGAAATTAAATAAAGAACTAGTGTGGTGTGGGATATAAACTCTCCTTGTTCTAAGACCCTGAGGTATTGTAATTATTTGTTACCTCAGCACAGCCTAGCCCATCCTGACTGCTACACTGCCTAGAAGGAGAGGGAAGGGAGGGCAGTCTCCATTACTGTATTAGTTATCTATTGCTGTGTAACCTGTTACTCGAAAACTTAGTGCCTTAAAACAACACAGTGTATAGTCTCTCAGCTTCTGAGGGTCAGGATCCAGGGGTGGTATAGCCGGGTCCTCTGGCTCAGGGTCTCTCAGACTGGAATCAAGGTCTTGGCTGCGGCTGCAGTCAGCTCAAGACTCAACGGGGAAGAATCCATTCTAAGCTCAGTTGTGTGATTGCTGATAGGATGCCGTTCCCGTGGCTGTTGGACCCAGGGCCTCACTTCCTCCCTGGCTGTTGGCCAGAGGCTGCCCTCTGTTCCCTGCCATGTGGGCCTCTCCACAGGGCAGCTGACAGCATGGCAGCTGGCTTCATCAGATGGAGGGAGAGAGAGTGTGAGCAAGACGGGTCACAGTCTTGTGTAACCTCCCATTCCTAAGTGACATCCCATCACCTTTGCTGTATCCTGTTCCTCACAGCAAGTCACTAGGTACAGACCCCACTCCAGGGGAGGGGGTTACAAAGGGTGTAAACTTGAGGAGAGAGGGATCTCTGGACCCACTTGGGAAGCTCCCTCCTAAGAGTATGCCCTTAGCCAGAAAAGGTGCAGGTGCTTTTTATCCTTGATCTCATTTAATTTATGCTATCATTTTGAGGCAGGTAAGGAAAGCACAGGTTAGCAGGTCTAAGTAACCTGTTCAAGGTTACACTCCACTAGAACCAGGACTTGATTCCAGAGATGTTTCAAATTCATTGTCCTAGGCTGCATTCCAAGAATCAAGGGAGTATATTGGATGGATTTCATCAAAAAGATGAGTTTTGTGTTTCTCTCTTCTATTCTTGATGAAAAAAACCATCACCATTCCTGTTTCCAATGCCCTAGGCGTCTGCAGCACTGGGGTCAAGAGTTCTGGAGCACACAGTTTTGGAGGTCAGCATTCTGGAGTTCACGTTTCTCTGAAGGGTATCCGAGGAGGTTCTGTGTTGTTTCACGTGATCAAGGAGCCAGGAACTGAGCTGGAGGAGATTGTGTGGGGCTTTGGACCTGACTTAAAATACACAGTCATGCTGCGAGTCCGTAATGGGTCAGAAGAGGCTCCAACCTGGGTCAAACTCCAGGACAAGTATAAGCAGAGGGTCCGTGTGCACAACATCATGTCCTTGAAGATTGAGAACTTGACTCATGAGGACAGTGGGCAGTACCGGGCTGTGGCCAGCTTTACCGGAGGAATGGAATCTAGCCAGATTTTCTACCTCACTGTCTATGGTATGTGACACCCCCTCACCTCAATCCCATGGCTATGTCCTTCTTTTGTACCTAGGAGTGTCACATGAGCACCATTTTGCAAGACTCCTTCCAGACACCAGCCTCCAGTCTCTGTTTTCTCTCTTGAAATTTGGGTAAGTGGGTTCACCACAAAGGGAGAGCAGAGCTGAGATTCACACCAGGGATAAAATCACTTCAGTGTTTTGGGAGAGGAAAGTGGAAATGTGGGGGAAATGGAATTTGCCCTAACACTTATTGATCCTGAGAGGGTTAAGTTGACTTAATTTATGGATTAGTTTTCTATTGCTGCTATAACAAATTCCAGGAGTCCCCCCTTATCTGCAGAAAATACATTCCAAGAACCGCAGTGGATACCTGAAACCGTGGATAGTACCGAGTCCTATATAAACTATGTTTTTTTCCTATACAAACATACCTATGATAACGTCAATTTATAAATTAGGCACAGTGAGAGATTAACAACAATAAGTAATAATAAAATAGAACAATTATAACAACATACTGCAATAAAAGTGACCATAGACATTAGAAACCACGCCACACAATTTTTTTTCTTTATTAAGTCAAGAACTTTCACTTTTTCACTTAAAGGAAACACTTTGCAGCTTCTCTTTGGCATATTTGAATTGCCAACATCACTACTCTTGCTCTTTGGGGTTATTATTAAGCAAAATAAGGGTTATTGGAACACAAGCACTGCGATACTGCCATGGTCATCTGATAACTGAGATGGCTGCGAAGTAGCCTATACAGCATGCATATGCTGGACAAAGGGATGATTCACGTCCTAAGCGGGATGGGGCGGGATAATGTGAGATTTCAACACACTAGTCAGAACACCCCAATTTAAAACATGAATTGTTTGTTTCTGGAATCTTCCATTTAATATTTTTGGACCGTGGTTGACCATGGGTAACTGAAACTATAGAAAGTGCAACTGTGGATGAAGAGGAATTACTGTACTACAAACTTAGTGGCTTAAATCAACACAAGTTTATTATCTTACTGTGCTGTAGGGCAGAAGTCAGACACAGGTGTCACTGGGCTAAAGTCAAGGTGTTGGTAGGGCTATGTTCCTTTCTGGAGGAGCCAGGGGAAAAACATTTCCTTGCCTTTTCCACCTCCTAGTGGCTGCCTGCAACCCTAGCTCTCGGCCACCTTGCTCTGTCTTCACAGCCAGCAATGGTGGGACGAGTCCTCCTCACCGTGCAGCCCTCTGAACTCCTCTCCCTCCTTCCACTTTTAAGGACCCTTGTGATTACACTGGTCCCCTCCAGAGAATCCAGAGTAATCTCACTATATTAATGTCAGCTGATTAGCAACCTTAAGTCTATCTATTACCTCAATTCCCTTTTGTCATTAATGTAACATATTCACAGGTTCTGAGGTTTAGGACATGGACATCTTTAGGGAGGTCATATTATGCCTAACATTATTTGGAAATCACTTGTAGTTCATTCTCCCTGTCCCCTCTGCTCTTACTCAGCCCCAGCCCGAGGCCAGCTTCACTCACAAAATCCAGCCTGAAGAGCCTCCATAGATGTGGGAGAAAGTTTAGCCTGCCACACTTCTTTAGAACCTCATTTAGCAACTCTTTCTTTCCCTACAGTTCCTCTGCATAGTGAAATACCCTGCTACGGAGAGAGTGGCTTTGACAGCTTTAGGTCCTCAAAGGAGTTCTGTGACTGGCTTGTAAATCTGTCACTTCTCTTCCTATCTGTACCACAAGTTCAGTGCCATGTTCTAACCACACTCAGGGCATGTCATTTCTAGTCACTACCACTGCATCTCCCACGAACATCTCTACTTTTGGGCACATGGGGCCTATCTTTGGACTCCCAGAGCTGGCCAGATGTCCCTCTTCACTGTGGGCTGTGTAGTCCCAGGCATCATCTCAGCCGGAGAAGCAGAGTGAGGGCCCTGGACCAGGACAGGTCCTTCACTCCTGATTTATTTTACTGCTAGGAAAGACTCAATTTCTAAAAATAATGGCCTTGGGTAAGTGGAGGGCAGGCTTTATCCTCTTGTGGGAGATTTTTAAGACTACTCTGCCTAGTGACATCACATAAGGCTTAACTCTGTACCTACCTTCCTTCTCATCTCTTACTATATATTTAGCTTTGGGTAAATTCTATTTCATCTGTAAAATGTCCCACCTTCCGTAGAGGGTGGAAGCCAGAGCTTCAGTGAGATAATGGACGAGAATGTGCAAATAGTAACGTTCTCCACTCACGTGAGGCTCCATTCTCTTGTCCCTCCCACCCCAGAGCCCATGCCCTATCCCCAGATCCTGGTCCGGTCGCTGTCTATATCAGAAGGCTGGTGCAACGTCACCCTGGAGTGCAGGGCTGTGCAGGTCACAGAGGACCTGAATGTGACCTGGGAGAGCAAGGGCCTCCCCAGGGAGCTGGAACAGAGAGGGACACCGGGACCAGCCTCCAACTCCTGGACCCTGACTGTGAGAGTGCCTCTGAGCCAGCCCAATGCCAGCCTCACCTGTGTGGTCAGCAACGCTGAGGACCAGAAAACTGTCACTTTAGCCCTTGAGGAGGTCTGTGCCCATGGTGAGTGTAACCTGCCAGAGGGGATGGGCGCTCTCAGAGCTCAGGGAGCACTGGGGTCTGAGGACTCTGGGCTTTTCTCCCTACCATGTTCATCAGCACCACCTCCAACTGTTCACCCCATACAGGAGTCTGGGAAACCCATCCAACTCGTTCCTGCTTTTAAATGTCTGTCACGTCTCTGCTTCTCTCCTTGTTCCCCTGCGGGTAGGCAGCAGCTGTCCAGTCCCTCTCTGCACCGCACCCATCGTCCACAGTGAGTAAAGAGTGGTCTTTTGGAAAAGAAACCGGATTTGTCTGTGTCGCCTGTAGGATCTGATCTCCAGTGACTCCCTGTAGGATTAAAGGCTCAGACGCTCCTCTGCCCATTGTTTTGGCCTCAGTGACACAGTTCACACTACACTGCTTGCCTGGAGTTCCCGAATATGTTCTGCTATTGCCAGATTTTATCCTCTGGATGTGCTGTTTCCTTTACTGTTATTCCTCCCTCCTTTTCCCTGCATTTCTTGCCTTATTCTTATTGAAGGATTTCCCTCAGGGACGGCTGACTTCAGTAACACGTGCCCCATGTTGTCACACAGGGCCCCGTGCTGGGTTTAAAGCTCTGCAATGGCCATCTTGACATTTCTAGCAATTTTTGAACAAAGGGTTCCTCATTCTCATTTTGCACTGGGCTCTGCAGGGGCTATAGCCATCCTGCCCTCAGGCATCACCTTCAAGGATGGTCCCTGGACCCTCCACTGAGTGGCAATGCTCTGTTTATGTGTTTGTCTCCTCTGTAGCCTGGAACACCTTGAGGGCAGGGGCCATGTCTTGTTCTCCTTTGAATTCCTGTAACAAGCACAGTGTCCGGCACAGTTTGTTCACAGTGTTTCAATGAATGAATGAATGACCTGGTACTCCCATGTGCATCCTCGCCCCTCTAACCTATCCTCCGTGAGCTGCCGGAGGGATCTGATGTGTCAGCATCCTGTAAAATCCCCCGTTACCCTCTTCTCGCCCCGTACTGGACTCTCAGATAGAGTTCAACACTCAGCATGACTCACAAGACCCTCTGAAGACAGACTCCTGCCTCCCTCTGACCTTCCTTGCCCAGCTCCTCTCTCCTCTGTCCCACTCCTGTCTGCTGCAGTGGGGTGCTGACAACTCTCAGGGGCTAGCTTTTTGACACAGTCATTTCCTGAACATGCTGCTCCTCCCTTCTGGAATGCTGTGCCCAGCCTGAATATCTGGTAAACGCTTATTCTTCCGTCAAGACTCAGGTTACCCATCCCCTCCACTGCAAGGCCCTCCCTGAAGACCTGTGTACAAGGAGTAAACCTCTATTGCACTGCAATCCCTCTGCCTGGTGACTTTGTTATTTTCTCAGTCTTCCCCCCAGGGTGATGAGCTCTGTGGGCGTGGACCAAGTCTTGTTCATCTTAACATCCCTGGCACCAAACAGGACCATGGCACTGGTTGAATGAACCTCATGCTCCTCCCTCCTCAGTTTCTGACCAGGACCTTCAGACTTCTCCCCCTGCTCTCTCTATCTCTCCTGGCAATGAGTATCTCAAGTTCTCTCTTAACGTTAACTTTCTTCACTCTTTCTGTGTGAGGGAAACAGATTCACATGAACAAGCTATCACTGACCCCCTGCAAGTCATCCTAGGGGCCACCGTGGCTGTGCTGTTGATCTTTGGGGCTGGACTGTGCCTTTGGAAGACATGTGAGAAGAAGAAGACGGAGACTGGAAGAGGCAGGTTGCATTTCTCCTTTCTGGCCCAGACCCGCCTCCCCCACTGGGCCCTTGGCTCCCTTTCTCCTGCATTTTGCTGCTCAGGGAATGTCTCTGCGGAGGGGATAGTGTGTAGACATGTCCTTGGGGTTCATAGCATTGGGGGAGGGTACAGGTTTCTAAGGCCCAGATTCAAGCTCCACTCTGTGTATGACTCAGGTGCAGTATTGGAGGAGGAACACAGGAACCAGGATGGTGACATCCACTATGCAGATCTGAGCCACAAGGAGTTTCGAAGGGGCAGGGACAAGGTGAGAGCTTGGAGCAGTGCCCAAATGGGCTTTCTCAGGTCCCTCTGTGCCTAGGTCTGGGCATTTTTGGCCCTGCTGTCTGTTTAACTCTTTCCAGAGAGTCACTGGTATTTACTAAGAAACTTTACAACTGGGACCAGTGTAGTGAAGGGCACTTTGGGGGGATTCACATGCAGTTCGTATCAGCAACATGAGTTCCATGTGGGTCCCTCTGGGGCCTCTCTATGCCTCAATTATTCTAGGAACCTTCTTCTTGCATTCCTAGGGTATGGGTGAACGACATCTAGAAGAAAAGGAGCCTCTCACCTCCATCTACAGTGAGCTCCAGAAGCCAGGCCAGGCCATGAAGATGATTTAATTGCAGAAAGCAGGATAATCGGCATTCCTAGGACACCTCCATGCTGAGCTTGGTCCCTGCAGACACCCACCTCTTCCAGCTTTGGTCCAGCTCCAGCTGCCCCTGGTCTGCATTACTCTGACCCTCATGTCCTCAACTCTCTGGGCACATGTGGCCCTGTCACTTCCTCTGACACTTCCTCAAGCTGCCCTCCCACTCATGACCCTCACCCCTGCAGCACACGTGCTCTTCCTCTGTCATTGACTCGGCTCCTGACCCCTCTCCTCCTGAAGCTTCCCAAAGGTGACCCTCCCGACTGTGCATGTGTTAATCCCCAGAGCCTCTTCTGTGTGTCATTCTGAGAACATGAGGCCAAGCGTGGGGACTGTGTAGAGGTGTTGAACATGCCACAAAAAAGGGAGTGAGTCCTTTGGTTCTTGACGCTGAGTTGGGGTCAATGGAGGCCGCACAGATGGGTGGGAGCCCACAAAGGGACTGCCCGAGGCTCTCCTGTGCACCTTGTATAAGGCTCTCTTGGTGGTGTTGGGCAATGTGTCTGTGCGTGTGCGCGTGTGTGTTGGTAAAAGTGTCTAGTTTACTTTCTACACTGTCTAGAGCCCTTGTTCTTGGACACCTGTGCTAACCTGGACCTCCACCTCAGCATCAGCCCATGGGTCCAAACTCACCTTCTTGTGGAGTGGGAAGAGGAATTTGTACTATTTCAGGCCCTTGCAAGTCTTCTGCTTCTCAGAGAATGACCTCAGAGGCCCAAAGTGGGGAGTTGCATTCTTAGAAAACAGCTTCAGCTCTTCCCTTGTCTTGGAGATGGGCCTTTGTTGGTTAGAATGGATGTGCAGTGTCCTCTCACAGCCTTGGTGGGCTGGTGTGGGGTGTGAAGGGTGAAGCTTGTGGGAAGTTCTGACTCAGCCCTCTCCAGACTCTTCTGCTGACCCTCAGCCCCCCACCACCATGCTGGCCTCAGACCCTAGGTCAGCTCCTCATTGCTCACTTGCCTCCCTCCGTCTAGAATGATAGTTCCCTCTCCCTATTTCTTGCTGCCATCCCTACCTGTTGAAATACTACCATTTGGCCCAAAGCTCTCTCCTAAGTCATGTGTTCCATGGATCCTGTCTGGTTCCCAAATGTTTGGAAATGGTCTCTCCAACAGCTGACTTTTTTGAATACCTTGGACATAACTAAGGGCACTGCCACAGTCTGCCCTGGATTAACCATGAGTGTTCTCTACTGGACTAACCTGGAGCTCCCTCAGGAGGGTTTTGGGGCTAGAGGAGGCCAGGACCAAGAAGACAAGCACCTCTCTCTGTGAAGAGTCTGGGCCACCCTTCGTCCCACAAGGGCTCAGCAGACTGAGACCAAGAGCACAGAGGCTGCTGAAGGTCTTTCTGGTGGTGGGTCCACATGGAATCAAGGATGGACATGATGACCTCCAATAGCCCTGCTGATGACCTCTCATGACTCTCCCTGGCCCAGAGATCTGAAGTGGGGACTTCCCACTCCACCTCCAGCCTAAGATAGACTGAGGACCTGATGCAGCCTGCAGTGGGGTGTGTGGGAGCTTCTCCCCTCCCTGAGGGTCCTCACCTCCTCAAAGCCTCTGCCTCCTGCCTTGTATCCCAGCTCTTGGGTCAGAGATGGACACCCTGGTACTATGAACTGTGGTAACTTGTCTGCTGGCCTAGATTCCTGGTCTCTTTGTTCCCTTTCCAGCTCAGCTCAGCTCTGCTGCTTCATCTCTGACCTCAGAAAGCAAAATTCTGAGTACAGGCTTGAGCATTATGAAGCAATGCTAGGAGCTTTCTGGATGGTGCATGGATAAGGGAGGAATAGGCGGATTCATAATAAGGCTGTTTTTGACATCTTTTCTCTCAGGCTGAGCAGAAAGCTGAGAGCGAAAAAGATGACATCTCGTCACTGGCGTCGCAGGCAACCAGTCATGGTTGGGTGTCAATGCCCATCAGCCCAGGAGCAGTGTCCACCCATTAACCCTTCCCTTTCCACCTACAGATGGGAATTAAAAAACAAAAAGAAGTGAACTGGTAATTCAAAGCCTGCAATGAACTAGGTTTTGTCCTTTGTTATTAGTGCCATGAGCTGCTTGGGACTCCTAGAGACCTTGTGTACGGCAGAGTGGAACCTTGCCTGGTATTTTTGTGCCATATTCTCATTTTGTGGTGCTGTTATCAGGTAATGCTCCACTGCTATTCATAGGGTTTTCCTGGCGATTTTTTTCAGGAGTGGGTGGCCAGTTCCTTCTTCCTAGCCTGTCTTAGTCTGGAAGACCCATTGAAACTTGCCCACCATGGGTGACCCTGCTGGTATTTGAAATACCAGTGACATAGCTTTCACCATCACAGCAACACGCGGCCGCCACAGTATGACAACCAACATATGGATGGTGTGGTTCCCTGACTGGAAAACAAACCCAGACTGTGATGGTGAGAGTGCTGAATCTTAACCACTAGACCACCAGGGCTGGCATTTTTGTCCTAGGCATTTAAAAAATATTATTTCTTCTAATTCTTTCAAGAACTCTCTAGGGTAGGTATTATTATCCCCATTTTGTAGGACAAATAATCAATGTACCAAACCAGTGGGTGGCTGAGCAAGGCCTTAAATCCAACACTTGATGAACTAGCATTCACATCTTACACTTTACTACGTGATCATTGAAAACTTGGAATCCTGGAATATTCTGATGGACTAGTCTCCATTTGTTCCTCTCTGAAGGATCCTGGTCTTCTGAGTCAGGTGCCCCAACTTGGGATGAGCTCACCCTGATGATGGATGGAGCAGTTGTTGGTTGAAAGAAAAATTTTCCTCTAAGTGTCCATGGGGACTTGGTGGGCAGGAGACGTAAAATAGAGACCTTGCACTCTCGTGCAGTTGAGATAAAGAGATGCTTCTCCCTCTTGAGTCTTGTGGGAATTCTTTCCTCTAGTACAAGGTGTGCTGTGGATTTCAGCATCCCCATACTCAAACCAGCTCCCTTTTGCGTTATTATTCATAACTTCATTCAATAGGTTTTACATAAGTTTCTCATTTAGACCTTCAACCATTCTATGAGGCAGAAATCCTCGTTGTACAGATGGAAAAATAAAATCCAGAGATGTTGAGTACCTCACACAAGTTCTCCTAAGTTTAAATGATGTAGGCAAGATTTGAGTCCACAGGGGATCATAATTTCACTCATTTTACCACTTTCTCCCTCATCCTGGACGCCTAGCCAGTGACCATCTTCCATTGGGTTATCCTTCATAATGCTTCTTTTATTCCATCCTTCTCTCATTCTTATATTCCTATCTTCCACCTGCAGCTGCACCTTTTTACTTTTCTGCCAGCATTGTATGAGGATTTCTCCACATGCTCTCCAACTGTTGTAAAGTTTAGATTGTAGCGATCCTAATGCAGGTGAAGTTGTAGCTCATTGTGGTTATGAATTGTATTTCTTTAATGATTAATCATGTTGAACATATTTTCATGTGCATATTGACCGTTTGCATACCTTATTAGAAGAAACCTCTTTCTCTAGAATTCTCTCTTTTCACGCATTGCCCCCACCACTCCATTGAATCTGCTCTTGTCCAGGTCATCAGGAAACTCCATGTTGTTAAATCCAATGGTCAATTCTCATTTTATGTGATCTCTCAGCAGCAACGGATCTATACTTCCTTGAAATACTGTCTTCACTTTGCATTCCCCACTCACCATTCTTCTCCTCCTACTCAGTGGTTGCTCTTTAGTTTCCTTTATCAGTTTCTTTCCCATCTCTCCAACCTCTAAGTTTTAGAATATGTCAGGGTTCATACCCAGACCACCCAGGCCACCTCTCTTCACTATCCACACTCATTCTCTTCTGATGTTATGGCCATGCACTAACCCCCGGAAGCTGTGACTATATGACCTTATGTCGCAAGAGGGGCTTACCGATGTGATCCCTCCCCTGGACTCCACATCATAAATAACCAACTGTTCAATTGACATCTCCACTTGCGTGTGACAGGCATCTCTAGTTTGACATGTCTAAATTCAAACTCCCCAAACATGCTGCCTATACAGTTTCCTATCCCCAAAAATGTCACCTCAATCCTTCCATTTGTTCTGGCCACAAAACCTTGGTGACCTCCTTGACTGCATTCTTTTTCTCATACCCCACACTCTGTCAGCAAATACTAATTTCTTTTCACTCAATATATATATTCAAATATTTATTTTTGTATATGTATTCATAATCTCTC